AAAAAAAAAAAGAGCGAATTCATGAAAGGTGTCATTTATACAGCAAAAAAATTATTAAGAAACCGATAAGAAACATAGTCAATAATAGTTACTTATGTCACTATTAAAGAGGTACTTGAAGAGAAGCTTATTCTGATATTCATTGTTAAAGCATGGAATAATCTCATCGCATGAAAAATGACGCAGCTCCTGATCAGTGTAAGGTTACGCAAAAGGCTACATCAAAGGGAATCCTAATTTTTTTAGCAGTTTTTACTATATAGAAATGTATCAGGACGCATGTAACCAGGTGATGGAATAACGGTAACAGTAGACGCAAGTATACAATGCCAATCTAATATGGATGATCCAAACCTATAGATTCTAGTCCTATTAACTGAAAGAAGGTGATTTACAGCTATTTTATACTTGCGTGCACTCCAAGTGTAACACTGAACAGAACTTTGATTTTTTGAACACTTGAGCTTTTAGCTTTCACACACAACTTATTCTATTGAATCAAAAAGCACTTTCCTCTTTCATTTTTATCAGTGACAATAAATTATTAAATGCGTATCAATGACGATGTATCTGTAAAAGTAGCAATAGAACATTTTACATGATATTAAAAAAGATAAAGCGTGTCATTTATTTATAATAAAAGCGTACTCCTTTCAGTTCTCAAGGCAATAAAGCCTTGATTAACAGGATCAACCGCGGGAAGGTAGGAGTGCACATGATCCCAAAAAAAGAAAGACACACACTGAATATCAATGGTGTATATACCTTATAAAAAGGAGTGATGTATCAAGAATGAGCTTACACATCTGAAAAGCCTAGAAAGTACAAGCTGAACAGTCCCAGACAAGCTTGAATTGACAGACTGCCAACAGGTAGCTATCGATAGGCCCCAACCTCGTCTACCGGTCGTCCCGCAAGCTCAGAAGATGACTTTGACTCAGCAGACTACCCAAAATAGCTTTTGGTTCGATACCGCCTAGCAACAGCATAAGTATTTATTCGAATACCTACACTCAGAGAGCATTTCTCTGTTCACAGATAATGAGCAAAGCGGTTAATCACACAAGTGTAGCCAGCTCAGAAATCTTCAAGTCACTTGAATCACTAACATGACCGTACTAGGGTTACAGTGTGAATAAAGAGCGTGTCCAGTCCTCTAAAGGATGAAACAAAGTCAAGACCAAAGCATCTTCACAGGGAGAAAAAAAGCAAGGAGTATCTGTAAAGAAAAGAAAAAGAAAAAGAAAAAAAAGGAAAAAAGAGGTAGGTCAGAAATATTCTAAAGCGTGTACGGTCGATTATTCGAATGATGACATTTCATTTGTTAATATGCTCCGATAACAGCTAAGGCGATTTTCTATTGGCTTGTACGTTTCAAAAGCGCGTCTTTGCTCATGTGCACATGATTGTCAACAAAGGACTTTTTCTTAAAATCAGATCAGCCTTTATAGTTGGTGGTAAACCACTTGATTTAGTAAAGATATTATCTGGTATTCTATTCTTGTCTAGGGCATTATTTATATTACGTATACAATCTATAGTTGAAAGAGTCTATTATGCATTTCTATCGCTGGACTCATTTGTAATACGTGTCTACCAATAAATTAGAGAAGTACATTCGGTGTCTACGATATACCTCCTGCTGTATAAATGATGCACATGCTATTAGAGTTATTGTCTGGTATTAGCCGTATCAGACTAGAGGTAGGCTTAGGCTGGTTTAGCGCTGAGAATCTTTTAAGATCAAGGAGTTCATTTTCAATCTTACCTCAATCTAAAGCACTAGGATCTTTTGTATCTTCTACCTTTTGTGCTTGATAAATTGACTGTGTTAGTCTTTTCGCTCTTTTGCGGTATGATAAGAAAACTACACCAAAGTGCCGCTGCCTACAACGCTGTAAATGGAAATCTTTTTGCTTCTTCAGATAAGCCTTCTAGTGGCGGAATGGATAGAGGCATCCTATTGTTGCTGTGTGGCAGTAATTGCAATGTTAGATGGATTTTGATTTAGCAACTGTAAGTTTATCATGTCAGATACGTCAAACGCAATGAATCAAGGGTAAGAATAGATTTCCAAATGTTTTTGAGAGCATTATATATGATTGTATCATTAGATACATATGTTGTGCAGCGAGCGTCCTGCATGCCCCCTTCGGCCAAAAGAGTACTTCAAATTGGGGTTGAAACCTTACTTCAGGAGCAAAACCATTCTTTACTTTGGCAGGCTTCCAATCCAATTGGTCAAGCCTCTGCATTTTGCTTATTCAGAGCTTAAAGTGCTGTGTCAATGTGTGATTAGACATTTGATATTTTACTCCCTCCATAGTAAACCTAGCTATTTAAGTATGCACACACTATAGAAGGAAGCGTTTTACATTTCATCCTTAACCTTTCTTAAGAGTTATACGCCTGTGTTTATACCGTCGCTCAGAGTCATACCATCAATATTCACGAGATAATACAGGCAAAGCAAAAGTAGACAAAGTATGATAAAAGTGTGCGTACTTTGTGGCATTGTATGAGTTTTTTTTTTTTTTTTTTTTTTTTTTTTTTTTTACCTTTATGATTCGAATTGTTATTCAGACTGTGTATATCTGACGCATTGAAAAGGAACGAATCTTCTGACCCAGCCACTTAAAAAACTGTGGGCCAGTAAAACAGTAAATGAGGCTGTTGCGCTTATTCGTCCAATTCATTCTATTCTTTATATTTTATTGGCTGAAACGTGCTCTCACTCTGCTAATATTCATAATTTTAGTAGTATTAAATACACGAATTCTTATTAAAGTTTTGGCTGATAACCATAGTTGACTCATAAAGACAACACCTTCCTAAAGTAGGGAACAATGAACCTTTAATTTTCCTAATAAAGAAACTAAGAGTGTCCGGTGAATGATAAGCCACATTCCGAGTATAGTCGGACAGTAGTGCCTGTTAGTGTAACCTGACATGGAGGAGAGGAAAAGAGAAAGAGGGAGGGCAGAGAGGGAGAGAGAGTAGTAAAGAGAAGACATGAATATAAAATTAATTCTTCCTCTTTTCCCTTCACCAAGTAAGCATCTGGTATGTTTTAACAAGTTCAACTGCATCAAATGTATCATCAGATGGATTCATCTTATAATGGATGGATGTCTGGAAACAATTTCAAAAAATTAGATACTGTAAACATTTCAGTTGATACCATGAGCAGTTGAATGTTGTAGATTTATTACATTTCAAACAGACTTGAATTAACACTTGCATCTGACAGGGATCATTAATTAAAAATGAAGGATATCTACAAGCACGACGAACTCGAAATCCCTGAAGGTGTTAAGGTTAACATCAAGTCTCGTGTCATCACTGTTGAAGGCCCCCGTGGTACTCTCACCAAGAACTTGCGTCACTTGGCTATTGAAATCACCGTTGTTGGCAAGAAGATCAAGTTTGTTGTTCACCACGGTCTTCGTAAGCACGTTGCCTGTATCCGTACCGTCCGCTCTTTGGTCAACAACATGATCACTGGTGTTACCAAGGGTTTCCAATACAAGATGCGTTACGTATATGCTCACTTTCCCATCAACGTTATCATTAGCGATGCTGGAGATGCTGTCGAAATCCGTAACTTCTTGGGTCAAAAGGTTGCTTTCCACGTCAAGATGCGTGAAGGTGTCAAGGTCGAAGCCTCCAAGGCTCAAAAGGATGAACTTCTCTTGACCGGTAACTCCTTGGAAGCTGTCTCTCAATCCGCTGCCGATATTCAACAATCTTGTCTCGTCAAGAACAAGGATATCCGTAAGTTCTTAGATGGTATCTACGTCTCTGAACGCAACGTTTTGGAAGCTTAAGTATGCTTGTTACAATAAATCTAAATGTTTCTGAAAGGATACAGTGTCACTTTTCAATGTCCGTCATGGACCAGTACAAGCCATTCAAATACAACTTGAGCAAATAGAGGAGAAGAGAGAATATAGATGTATTTTGTAATGAGACATCGTGTGCAGTGTGTTATTTGCAGGGTAGAATGCTTTTGTATCTTTTTTATTATATGCTGTTGCAGACAGTGATAATCTTTAGCAAGTTGCTTTGGTCAAGCAAACGATCTTGGGATAACAAAATGATCCGAGAACGTTCTATTCATTCATAAAGGGGCCTTTGATCATCAGGTACACGATAATGAAAGGATCATCAATGTGTTGATGGATGTATATAAGTATATCTGTGGCTAATTCGCGGCAACAAAAGAGAACGGAGCTTTTTCATGACGTACGCGCTCTACACGAAAGCTTGTATCGACAAGGATAATCTCCCATTTCCTCCATTTCAAAATTCTTGCAAGAGGGACACTGTAGTATTTTATGAACCACCAAGGCTAAGTCGGTTCTATTAAAAAAGGCGAAAAAAAAAGCCCTTCTAGACCCAAAGGTAAAGAATGGAATGACGAAGAAGCAGAAAGGGCGTGGTTTATTTTTAGAACTCGAGGCATTCACTCTTGGAAACATACAACATTAATACTTATCAGTGTAATGCGTTTGACACTTGCATCTTTGGAATACTTTGAAAACTTTTGTAACCTTCGCATCTCTTTCGCTCATCCTTATCATATCATTAATCTTCATCAATCCTTCTGTCTTGCCCTTGCTTTATCTGGTCTAGGCTTCTTCAATTGGGGCAATGTTGGGCTTTACATAGGGACTGCTTCGTGTCCTTTGTTCTTGTTACTCAATAGACATCTGCATGTAAGATGAGTAAACTCCGCTGAAGCGAGGCTGTGTATGCATATCATAACAACACTGAAAGCAATTGCTTATTTACAAGATGCATAAAGCAATTAAAACGTTTGGCTTTTATGCGCCGAGGGATTGACTATATTAAAAGTAAGATCAAAGGCTTATTATTATTGAGTGTTTTGTATATAGATATAGCTCACAAAAGGACCTCAAAGTATACCAAATATATACCGAATTGATGTTTTATAAACAATCTAGGCAATACTGAACATATAGTGAACTTCTTCCTATATAAACGCTCTTTTACTAAAACAGTTTATTTGCTGTCGGTTATGTTTACGTACTATGGACTATATACAGTCTTGGACAACAAAGGGAAGGTTGGTTGTTTAGTAATATATGATGACATGCTAAAATAATTTAGTCTTGTGTGCATGGCCGAGACTCTTTATTATAGAACAATACGATATACCCAGTATCTGCAATATTATAAAATCATGTATTGATGTATATTTACGTGAAGGATAAATGGCATCTCTCCATAGTGTAAGCTCTCTTTACGATGTCACTGATAAAGGGTAACAATAAGACGAATTAAGCTTAATAAAGAGAATAGGCATTCTTTGACATAACCATACGTGACACTGCCTCGGACATGGTGCTCAAATAGTCATTCAGAATAAGATTCACATCTCAGATCCAAAACCACAAAATATTATAAAAATAACTGATTGACGTACATAAGCTTGTTTTGACATTGTCAACTTCAACTTTATGACTTAACATACAAACACGTGCTTTGACAGGGCTTAGTTCACACGACATGTCATATTGAACCTTGCAGATTGATCTTCTTTGCGGAGATTATTCAATTAGGTGATATTCGCCTTCTGAAAACCCTATATTACCCTTTATGGTCAATTAAAAAAGGGATATAAAAATTTTTTCATGATCCATCTTGTTGTCTCTTTTCTCTTGATCTATTCCTTTCTCTTCTCTTCTCTTCTTCTTTCTATATATCGCACTTGATACATGGTCAGCTTAACCTCTTTCTTTTCAAGATCAAGTCAAAAGACGCCGAGCAGTAGTCGACAAGCAAGTAGACAAAGTAGTCGTAGAAATTCAAGAGAGGGGTCACAATTAGACTTGGATGAAGGAATCAATTCATGCTCAAGTAGTATAGAATCAACTTCTACAAAATTGTATAGATTAAATACAGCAAGCTTACGTGAGTATGGTGAATGCTACAAAAGACTCGGAAAGGGTTCAACGGCGATTATATCCATCTGTAAAAGCAAGCGATTATCTTATGATTCATCCAGTGAATGCAAACTTTATGCGATCAAGCAGTTTCGAAAAAGAAACAAGACAGAGACCGAAAAGGAATACATGAAAAAGTTGACGAGTGAATTTTGTATTTCTTCGACCTTTCACCATCAAAATGTGATTGAAACAATCGATCTCGTATTGGACAATCAAACGCGATATTGCACAGTCATGGAATATTGTCAAGGTGGTGACTTATTCTCTGCTATTATGTCTGGACATATGACTGAAATAGAGATGGCTTGCTGCTTTAAACAAATGATGAAAGGCATTGCTTACCTTCATTCAGTTGGTGTCGCTCACAGGGATATCAAACCCGAAAACTTGTTGCTCACACTTGACGGTACGCTCAAGATAACGGACTTTGGTGTGTCGGACGTTTTCCGATGTGCTTGGGAGAAAAAGTGTCACAAGTGTCATGGGTTGGTTGGGTCCGAACCTTATATCGCTCCAGAGGCATTCGATCGTAAAGACTATTGGGGTTCTCTCTCTGATATCTGGTCGGCTGGCATCGTTCTTTATTCGATGTACAAAAGTGGTCATGCTTGGATTAGAGCTGATAAAAAATCGGACCGTGAATTTAGATCCTATTTAGACCATCACCCAGCAAGAACTTATCCAAATTTCAAAAAGTTTAACGATTCCATGAGAGATTTGGTTTATAAAATGCTCGAACCAAATCCTGAACATCGTCTAACAGCAGAACAAGTACTGGAACACAAATGGGTAAAGTCAATCCTACTGTGTGAAAAAGGTATCGATACCATGAATAGACACCACAAACATACAACAGCAACAAAATAATTCATTTGTAAATATTATATTCATTTTAATTAAAATCCCAAATAACTGTATTCTCCCAAGTGATCTGGTGATTTGTAATCATTATCTGCATAGGGAAAGGGTGTGGCAGTCCTCACTGCTTCAAATGTATGGTCTAAAGTATGATGATCTACGACGTCATGTTAGCTTTATTGCCATAATATTTTGCTTCATTTCTTACCATTTGTAAATGTACCCTTTTCCATACAATTTCCACATAGGTCAACTTCTTCACTAATATCACATACTGTACATCTATACAATACACCTACAATAGGTTCTGTTCCACACGCATCACACTAAAATCACCATATTAATCAAGGAATACAAAAAGTAACACAAGTATAAACTTACAGCAAATCCTTCGTGTATCACCAGATCACTGGATGCTGACTCGTTGTGACCGTTGCTATGATGGCCATTAGCTTTACTAATGACGGCCTGTCGCATCATCTCTTTAACTGTAGAATCCTCTTCCTCATCAGACATAAAGGCAGAAGGAGGACCAAGCGACGTTGCATAGTGTGCTCCTGATATGCGTGATGTTGTGATCCCACCAGAGACAAAGCTGTTATATCCTGTTCCAGATGTCCGCAGTGAAGCTGATGGCTTAGTTATGCGTCCAGGCGATGATCTTGCTTTGGATTTTGAACGACTACTGCCTTTTTCTTTGGGCATACACGAGGGCTATCAAAAGAATTAGTAAACATTCAATATCGATGTCGCTTATACTTTACTGGAATGGTAATTCTACCAGGCACAGGTAAACCTAACTTTGCTAGCTTGATAAAGTATTTTTGTACACGGCTTGCTACTTGTTTTGGTGTCCTTGTACCTAGTGCTTTAGAAATTTTATTAAATCTCTGAGCTTGAATAGGCTCATCTGGATAAATATCCAATAACTCTTGTAACCGTTTCTGTAAACAAATTCAGCCATCATGTGTGTTTAATAGATGTTAACCTTACCTGTTCTTCATCTGTCCAAGGCTGCTTAAACGAGGGTGTTTTGTCATCCACGCTATCTGCTAATGAGTACTCATCAGGTGTGCGTGGCTCGATTGACAGTAGTCTTGGCCTGACATCCTGTGTCTTTTGCAGCTCAATGCCTGATTGAACCACAGACGTCCTTCGTTTTCCTTTGCCTTTGCCAGCCACAGAGTTTTTCGGTGTAGTTTTCATTCCCATATCACTTTGACTATTATCTTCCTCATTTTCATCTTCAGAAAAGTCAGACATAGAAATTGGGCGTGAGGGTATTTGATGCATAGCCTGAGTGGCTTTCATGAGTTCTTGCTGAAGTTGCTTTGTTGTATTTGATGCTGTATATGGATGATGTTCAACATAATGAGTGTCTAAGATGCTCTAATAATAAATCATTAGCTCTTATCATTGTATTCTTATGTCGCATCTTACTTTATAGGTTGTCTTCTTTGTTTGATTAATGAGATGCTGTGTGAATGACTGAATCGATGCTTGTTGTTGCGCGATACGTGTTTCTGGTAAGTATTTATATTTATGCCATTCAATTTCAGGAACTGCGATCACTTTTTGAAGCTTGGGTACTCTAGTTTTTGACTGCATACACAGTATGAATATATGTATAAGGTATATTTGTTTAAAAAATACCTTTTTTAAGTTGATGATAAACTCAAATGGTTCAGATAAGGCTTCATTCTTTAGTGTTTCTAATGTATTCAAATCACTTTTTGCTTTTGAAAGCTGTTGTTTCAATACTTCCAATGCTTTCAAAACTAGTTGATAACTATACACCACATATTAGTCTACGATCGACAAGATTGCACTTCTTACTCTTCATTATTTTCACTTGGTTCTTTGTCGGCAGATTCTTGATTTGTTTGTTCTTTTGATACTGTGTCAGCCATCGTATTGCAATCATTCAAAAGCTTTGTATTAAACAGAATTGTGTAGTTTGACAGAAAAAAAAAGTAAAGCACGCAAATTCTTTTAAAAAAAAAAAAAAAAAAAAAAAAAACTTTTAAAACTCAGAACTTCGTGTTCCATATCTCGTTCTTCTGCAATTTCATAATGCCTGAATATACTAAATCTATGCAAAAGAACAGAAAAGCATTAGTCAGTTGGGTCGTTAAGATGTAAATTTATGTCTTCCTATGAATGAAATATCATTGCACCTGCTTATTATTGAACCTGAATCTGAAACTGGAAAGATCGAAATGACTTATCTATCATTATACCGAGATCTACATGAACGAGATGAAGCAGAGGCTACAGGAAAACAGGATGAATATAAAGACACCTTTGACAGCGCTGGTATTGAAATGGATAAGGATATATTGAGATTAGTTAATATTGCATGTAAGTCAGAGAGACATTCTAGAGCTCTCGACTTGGTGAACTCTCTTCGTTTATTCGAATCAGCGGATAAAGCTATCCGTGTTGCTTCTTTTCACCATCTGTCCAGCTTAACCAATAGTATGATGGGGATTAAAGAGGTAAGTTAATCATAATTGTTATGGACAAGGTCTGACCTGATTTTTTAATAGCTTAAATTTATGGCTAATACACGTATTTTGCAAGTCAACCAAGGCATGTATACATATTATATTTACTAGTGCAGTTTAATAATAATCTTATAGTCTTTATGTATCTAGTGTGCCATCATTAGAAAACAGTCTTTCTCTTTTAGAAAAAGATGATGTTATTTTCTTTGGAGTTGTAAGGGTTGTTGTTAGTATAGAGTTTTCTTGAGATTTCATAAGTTTAGGTGCTTGAAGTGATCATCAGATCTTTTAAAGTTGACCAAATTGTGAAATATAAAGTAAAATAAAGGATAAAAAGAAAAGATCAGGAACTTTTATTACAAAAGATTGCCTATTTATTTGAATTAAAAGATAAAAAATATGAATTGAATTTTTTTTAACTACTACAGATGAAGATATTTATATCATTTCATTGTTTATGGTTCCAACCTTTTCAGACAAAACGAAAGTTCCCATAAGACCGACAATTTTCGTTCTAGCGACAAAAGTCGTTATTTTGAAAATTGTCGGCTTGATCAAGTGTAACAATGTCACTTTCTTGGTTGCAATGAAAGAGACACACGAAAGAGAAGCATCTTTGATGAAACGGAGGATGAGTCTATGGATTCTCATAAGGACAACTTACAAAGAATAAAAAACCAAGATCCTTTCAATTTTCACAAATGTAATCATAAACATGTATATAATATAATCAACGCTTTCTTTAAATGTGATATCATCATATGCATGCATGAAATAAATGAATACTCCAAGCACTTATTACCTTAGGGAAAAAAAAGAAGAAACTTTTTGTTATTTATAAGATTTATTTTATCAAAAAAAAAAGAAGACTATTTACACATAGTCATCCGTGTCGTCGATTAATTTGAAGTCTAGCTTCATCAATGACACGAACTCGCTCAAGATGCACTTGGTGCAAAGTGCACCATGTAGGAGGCTGGCGTTCAATTCAAATGGAAATATCGGTGACAGTTCCACGCCAGCCTCCCCATCAATAGTTACTCCACTGAGCAAGTTGCCATTGACACGCACCTGCTTGAAAATCGATGGCAACTTGCTGGCCATTACTTCGTAGCCAAAGTATTTCTGTGATGAGGCGTTCATAACCATAGCTTGCTCACACTCCTCCAGCAAGCTGTAGGACATCTTGATGTCTTTATTTCTTGCTGAAGAAGCTTGCAAGCGTCTGGTCAGAACGCTGTGAACATCACCTTGCATTTTATTGAAAATGCTGGTCGCACTATTGATACCAAATGGAGGCAGACGCCGTATAAAAGATATTGCTCCTGGGCTTTGACCTTGGCCAGGAGCATATCGGCAAAGGAGAGCAAAGTTTTTCAAGCCATGGCCGATTGAGAGGGTGTATCATCAGCTTATCTTTGCTTCTCGTTATAATAGAAGCTGATGATGTAATTGCAGAGTGCATGGAAATATGTCAAGACAAAGCCAACTTGTCTTTTTTATTGTCGCCTCGTTTCTTATAGACACGTACTATGTTGCGAGGCCTAAGTGAGAGAAGGTCGGAATGAATAAAAGTAATAGTTTTAAAAATACTCACATCACTGTGATCACTTTAAATTGTTCCATTGTGTTGGCATTAGGGGCAGTAGCTGATAACGTTCTCTTGACAGATGTCGTCGTAGGGCTAGCATCAGCCGGTTTGTCATTGATCTTATCATTGCAGAGCTTTATCTTAGTACGACACTCACTGTCACTAGGGGCAGTGCGTCTTGTACTTTGATTTGCATTGGTAGTGATATTATTGACCTCCGGGCGGAAAGCAGATTCACCCACTTGTGCTTCATTGTGCTTGAGGATATAAAACTTGCCTTCATCTTTTGAACAGGCTTGACTGACTTGCTCTGGGAAAGAGGATGGGGTTGAACTGACAATTTCACCCTCTTCAAGCTCCTCATCGTTTGCCTTGAGTTGAAATAGCTTGATGTCAGCAGTTGTTGATGAGTTGGAGGCAGGAGCAGCAGAGATGTCAGATACGAGCTTGCTTGTAAACAACTCCTTTCCAGAAGCACCTGAAGTGCTATGGAATGGCATTTCTTTGTCTTTGCCCTTAGTGCTTGAGAATGCTGATGCCAGAGATACGGTAGGTTGGCTTGTAGATGGTGTTCTATGGACAACAGAGCGAGGGAGGCCAGGAACAAAGTTGACTATATCCTTGCCCTTCAAAACAGAAATCAGCTTCTTCTGTTTGACTGCATCTTTTGTGATTTTCAAGGGGTCTAGTTTGAAACGAAAAGAAAAGTTAATCAACGTGATATTCAGAACGTATTTTGATCTTACGTTTCATTGAAAATTCCTTAAACTTGAGTAAAGGATGGAACTCCTGGCTGAATAATACTGGGCAAATTTTGGTGCGAATGTGGCCCTGGATTTCTTTAACACCATCAGCAGAGACAGAACGGGCATTGGGGATTTAGATACAGTCGCCATTGGAGTCGCAGCGGAAAGGGCAATTTCAAAAGAAACGCTAAAAAGGAAAGAAGTTAGTTGATAAGCGCACGTATATCAAAGATAACAGAACTTACTCAGCTGCGTTAGGCTCCTTGGAAAGTTCAATGTCGGTCATAAGTTGCAATGCTTGATGTACAACTTTAAGTTTCTATTGATCAAGGACAAGATTAGTAAGAAAGAAAGCGAGCTATGTATGAGTGTATATTTACCTTTTTCGGATTAGCCATAGTTGGAGTAACAGCGTCGATCTTTCGCTTGATGCCAGCACCAGACGTGGCCAATGAGTGAATGATATTTCCGGAAGAGAGAGCTTGGCTACAAGTAGCAGCGGTACCTGATGATGATTTGGCTTTCTTTGAACGGCCAGGAAGTCTTAAATCTCCAATGGGCGAGAAGGAAGCAAGAAGAACAGGTCTATTGGAAAGTCTCAAAGCATTGGAAGCACTTGCAGTAGGTTTTCATGGTTCTACAGTAGACATTAGATGGCCATATTGTTGTGATCGCACCGCGTTGCGGTTAGGAGTAAGGAATTTTGAGTTCTCCTGGATATCAGCAGGGATAGCCATGACTGCAAGATCGTTTATTAAGCTGCCAACACGCTTAGCAGCTTGATATTGACCTCCTAATACGACAGGCGGTAATGGTAATGAGGACGAAGTTTGAGCAAGTCGACGGTGGTTAACAACCTTGGGATGGTATCTAATCAAAGGATAGTCCTTTTTGGGGGCAGGTAGATTCTTGGTGGATAGCACGATGTCTCTCATGGAGAGGTTCATGGAAGCCAGAAGTGCTTGCTTGAGCGCGAGAGGGCCCAGGACGATGCTGATCATCATAGAAACTTGTTTGAAGTTGATGTGGCTCTGTCTTGGCCCATGGTGCGCTTCTGATAGAAGGATGTCTCAAATAGAATTGAGACATGGATGGATCATCCAAGCAAAGATCGCTAGTAGATCTGTTTCTGTTGTTATTGTTTGTTGACATCTTCAGAATACTAGCAAGAAGAAAAGGGATAGTAAATGGAAAATAAGTGCTCACACAGAGAGATAAAGTTAAGCAAAGAACAGCGAAAAAAAAAATAAAAAAAATAAGAAAGGCGAAACAAAGAAGAAGAATTAAAAAAGGCATAAAAGGAATTGGTAATAAGGATAGATTCGCATTGTGTTTGATTGACGGGAATTCAATAAAATAAGGAGAACTAACTATAGAGCGCAACAACATGTGATGCACATTGCTTACCTGAGAGAAAAATAGAGATAAGCTCAAACAGTCTATTTACTAAAGCAACACCCGTGTCCTTGGCAATCACTTTTAACGTGGCAACGAAATCAACTATTATTTCTTTTCTTTGACATAATAAAAGAATACTAAACTTTGTATCCTTCTTGATTGTTCCTTTTTATTATATCAATCAAGACAAATCTTTTCACTTGCTGTTTATTTACTCTTGTTGGATTATATTCTGAGAAAGGAAAAGAACCTTAATTGATATATATATATAAATAAAACAGGTTATGTACTTTAGAGCAGTAACATTGCCTTATTAGATTCTAGATCATACGGATGTCGATCATATATAGCCTCATTCAAGGTTCCACGAAAAGTACGAAAGCTGCATTTGACGCGCAGGAACTAAACTAAGATGTTTCGTTTTTTATTATGGGCTAGGAACTTTTTGTCCATTTAGTGAATAGCGTAAGCAAATAAAAATATTCTTGATAAGAGGTTTAGATGCTCTTAAAGTGTTAAATAAGCCAAAACCAAAGTGAGTTGGAATCAAGGAACAAGGGGATTAGGCTTGACCAAAGCTTGTCTACTTTGATCTGCTGTTATTTTTAAGGTCCACTTCAAAGGGATGTCAAGCATCTTTCACTATCGCTATATGTCATCATTTACTCCCTCTCTCTTACTTTACTCTAAATGATCTAAAAATAGATGCTATTTCTTCATTTACAAAAGCAGTTAATAGATAAATTTACGGAATGATGCTTGATTGCTTATCTATGGATAGACTTAACTGAGTTCTAACCAACAGATCAGCTCATTCATGCATGTTGATAGCACGTAAAGACATCAAAAGGAAGATCATCAATTGAGGCATCAATATTAATGTCACTCTTTTTATATGCTTCTTTATAGCCACTATAGCAACTCAAATCTATGGACCTTACAGTAGTCTTCAATCAGGAGAAAAGTCTTGAGCGGCATAAGAAAAAATCATCAAGTCCTGTCTGTGCTGTAACTGTTTCATAGATATTTATGAAAAAAAAA